TCATCAGGATGAGATGGAAGCTAGACAAAATTTAGCAGAGCTTGTCTTTAATCGCCAATCTACAATACATTGCCAATAGCATATAGTGGACACTAGTATGATGATAGCCACAAATTTGAAGGTGTTCGGATATCACAAACCAAAAGCAAAACGGGTGGAGTAGACTTTAAGGTACCCCTTGTATTATGGCCAAGTTGTTGTTTCGGTTGATCTTTACAATATGGTAACTGGTAGTTTGGCAACATTTTTGGAGGCGATAAAGATTACTACCTGGGACTTTGGTAATAATGTGAGCAGTACTCAGTTCCGATTACGCATTATTTTGTGTGAGGGAAATGAGAGATCATGGCATATGTCATGTGATATTAATGGACGAATTACGGTTCTTTAATCGGAAAAGGGGGGAAATCAGGAAAAAATCTGGAAATTTTGTATTTGGCTTTATTCTGTGTTGTGTGAAACAGCGTTCGTGAATTTTTGGATCCCATGGCCGTAACTAAAGTGAATTCGAAATGGGTATTTACGTATGTATTAATTTAATGTATGTGCTCATTTATATTTTAAGTAGTGTTTTTGAATTTAATTATATTTTAATTAAATTATAGTTATTTTGTGAATTTTATGTTTGTAGGAATTTGGTATACGTTTTAGTTGAAGTAAATGTGCATGGAAATAATTTAAATATTTGATACTAAGTATTTGTAATGTTTGCGGTATGAATTCGTTGGTGACGTGTATAATGTAATAGATGATTTAGAGGTAAAAGTTTTTGGATATTTTATTTATTTTATATGTGGAAATGTTCATTACTTTTTCGCGATCAGGTAATTTCATATATGTTCTTTTTACCGGGTTTAAAGATTGAGAAAATTGTCATGTATTTTCGTGAAATTTTTCTAATTTATGAGAAAAAAGCAGTGTACATGGATATAGTGAAGAGTGTGCGCAATGCCACTTTTGTGCAATTCTGGGATTTTTTTAAGTAAAAATAAGTTGGCGTGTACATGGTTTATGTGTATGTGTTATTTTAAAAAACGCGTAAGGAGTATGGTATTATGCACTTTTTCCCAATTTTGCAGTGAATATTTGTCATGATTAAGCAGTTTTGTTAGATAAAATTTCTAGCATAAGTGTAATTCGGCTAGTAGATTGTTGGAAGAAGTGTTCAGTAGATAAAAAGAAAAGAAACATGTCTTTACTTCGTGAAGACAAAATGGCGGCGGGAAAAAAAAATAGAGCGTTGCTGTAGGAGAGTTGGTCGCCAAATTTTCGCCAAAAAAACACCAAGTTACCATAATGTAAAGATCAACCGAAACGTTTATCGGACACGTAATCAAGATTCTGAAGAAGATTAGGTAAGCTAGTATTTTTAATTATTTGAGGATATTATTTTTATGCATTGTTCTAAAATATAAGGTGGAAGTAAAGGAATTTGGTATTATTGGGAAAATTGTTATTAGCAATGATTTAGTTTAAAGTACTTAGGATTGTAAGGTAATTTTTATTGATTTAATGTATGTGCTCATTTATATTTTAAGTAGTGTGTTTTGAATTTAATTATATTTTAATTAAATGATAGTTATTTTGTGAATTTTATGTTTGTAGGAATTTGGTACGTTTTAGTTTGAAGTAAAACGTGCATGGAAATAATTTAAATATCTGACACTAAGTATTTGTAATGGTTGCGGTATGAATTCGTTGGTGACGTTTAATGTAATAGATGATTTAGAGGTAAAAGTTTTTGGATATTTTATTTATTTATATGTGGAAAATTCATATTTGGAAAGGGTAAATACTTTTTCGCGATCAGGTAATTTCATATATGTTCTTTTTACCGGGTTTAAAGATTGAGAAAATTGTCATGTATTTTCGTGAAATTTTTCTAATTTATGAAAAAAAAGCAGTGTACATGGATATAGTGAAGAGTGTGCGCAATGCCATTTTTGTGCAATTCTGGGATGTTTTTTTAAGTAAAAATAAGTCGACGTGTACATGGTTTAGTGATATTTTAATTAAATGATAGTTATTTTGTGAATTTTATGTTTGTAGGAATTTGGTATACGTTTAAGTTGAAGTAAACGTGCATGGAAATAATTTAAATATCTGAGACTAAGTATTTGTAATGCTTGCGGCGTGAATTCGTTGGTAACGTGTATAATGTAATAGATGATTTAGAAGTAAAAGTTTTTGGATATTTTATTTATTTTATATGTGGAAATGTTCATATTTGGAAAGGGTAAATACTTTTTCGCTATCAGGTAATTTCATATATGTTCTTTTTACCGGGTTTAAAGATTGAGAAAATTGTCATGTATTTTTGTGAAATTTTTCTAATTTATGAGAAAAAAGCAGTGTACATGGATATAGTGAAGAGTGTGCGCAATGCCATTTTTGTGCAATTCTGGGATGTTTTTTTAAGTAAAAATAAGTTGGCGTGTACATGGTTTATGTGTATGTGTTATTTTGAAAAACGCGTAAGGAGTATGGTATTGTGCACTTTTTCCCAATTTTGCAGTGAATATTTGTCATGATTAAGCAGTTTTGTTAGATAAAATTTCTAGCGTAAGTGTAATTCGGCTAGTAGATTGTTGGAAGAAGTGTTCAGTAGATAAAAAGAAAAGAAACATGTCTTTACTTCGTGAAGACAAAATGGCGGCGAAAAAAAAAAATAGAGGGTTGCTGTAGGAGAGTTGATCGCCAAATTTTCGCAAAAAAAACGCCAAGTTACCATAATGTAAAGATCAACCAACGTTTCTTCTTTCTGTTTCAGGATCTTTAAAATCATACTTATATTTCACAGCAAGGTTCCAGGTAAAAGAAATAACTTAATAAAGCATCTTTATTTCTATCTCATACAACCTTAAAAAAACATTTATTGCTACCCTTTTCAATACCACTAAATACCCATTTCGAATTCACTTTACATAGGGCCATGGGATCCAAAAATTAATCGAACACTGTTTCACACAACACACTATGAAGCTAAATACAAAATGCTAAACGCAATAAAAATTTCCAGATTTTTTCCCGATTTCCCCCTTTTTCCGATTAAAGAACCGTAATTCATCCATTAATATCACATGACATATCCCATGATCTCTCATTATCCCTCACACAAAATAATGCGTAATCGGAAATGCATTATTACCAAATCACATATAAATCACATTATAAATCACATTATTACCAAAGTCCCAGGTAGTAACCTTTATCGCCTCCAAAATGTCGCCAAACTACCAATTACCATATTGTAAAGATCAACCGATGTGAAGTATACTAATGTGAAATATAAACTAAGAAAAAAAAAAGTATATTGGTGTTTTTTTTAATAGAAAAATTCTCTATTTCAAGAGAGGTTTGACATCAGTTACGCTTCTTCATTAGCAATAACATATTTTGGCTTATTTAAAGTTTCATTCAAAATCTACATCAAACTAATGTTGCTTTTAAATTTAATTTTAAAGTATATGAAGTTTATGTGCCTTAGAAGGAGAACTAACTCGTTTGTTTTCAGCATACTAAACTTGATACATGAAACAGAGTTCAATTATTTCAAAACAGAATTGGATGTTAAAATTCAAATAACTATAATTATCAAATATCTTATAAAATTGTATTTCAAAACAATTTTTTTTTTTTAAGAAAAGGAAAATACATATCTGTATTTTCTAATCATTTACTTATTAAAATCAAAGAAAAGACATTTCTCATTCTTTTTAGCTATCTGCTGTTGTAAGTTTGTGTAAATTTATATGTGCAATCATAAAACAAATATTATTTGTCTGATAATAGCTGAAATAACTGATACTAAGATTTTGTTCCTGTTTCGTACAGATAGCATAAATGTAAACAAGTTAAAGTCCATTTGTTAGGAGCAAACAGATAGCAGATAAAAAAATATGCTTCTTTATTAATATTTAAATTCAAAAAGAATAATCTGACAAAGCAAAATAAAAATAGAATACATACTACTGTTAAAAATAATCCTCTTTCTAATCATAGTAGAGGTCTGAGTATTAGAACTTCTTTCTTAAGTTACTAGTAAATGCTATACATTTGAAACACATAAAATTTTAATAAAGTCGATATTTAAAAAATATTAAAACTAGTAAATAATATTATATTAACTTTCAGTATTTTGATGATGGTAATAAATTTCATTAGCATTACAGTTATAATCAAAATGATTTTAATTCTAGAATAAATATACAACCAACAAGATGAATATATAAATTCAATTGTGACACATTATTATTCTTTAAAAGAACGAAATATAATTTAATTTGCTTAATATTCATTCAGCAGTTAATACTTATTTAAAAAATTACAGCTGTCCTTAAATACATAACATGCCATTCATACTATAATTCATATATTTACTTGTGAAGAGACAACTAAACAAAACAAAGCTGTCATATTAAAGGTCTAAAATTTCAGATGCATAATAATTTTATGCACAAGATAAAACCACAAGCACAATGAAGGCATTTTACTATTTCATTTATGTCTAGTAAACACTAGAATTTCAGAAGAGGATGATTTTAAGTAATAGGCAAATTTCCCAGAGTTAAGTGATCTTATTCATTCAATATATATGAATTATGCATTATGTTAAATCTATTCACTAGATACTAAAAATAATAAATATAAACTAAATCATTTAATTATTTTTTAAATCGTGCTCTATCCCTTAAATGGCTAACAAGTATTATTTGATATAATAGTCTTTGTATATGCTAGATATAGCATGAATAGTGGTCCAAGGAAAGATTACGATTTTGTTAATTTATATACTTAAATTTTGGTTTTAGAAACAACTGCACAAATAACAGAAACATATACCAGGTTCAGTGCGCATTTTGTTATACTGGTTAAACTTGCATTAAGTGATGTGGAGATGGTATAAGTCACCAACACACATCGCCAAAGCAGACATTAAGAAAATCCTTAAATTTTGCAGTTGCGACTTTCATACAGAATTAGCTAGACATCCTACTCACCTGTAAAAAATCTACCATCTTCAGTAAGTAATGCAGCACCTACTGAAAATTTACTATATGGGCAGTAAGCATTAGAAAGAGCACCTTTACTAAGTTCACAAAGCTCAGAAATTTTTTCCGTTTCGATATCGTTAAGGCTCATTTCTTCATGAAATATAACAGCAAACAACCTTCTTTATAATTGGAATGCTGGGTTATGTCATGAATTCATGCACTCAGCAAATGCTTCCTTTTTAATTTCGAACAGACGACTAGAAATAACTGTTGCCAGAACGGGAGTACAAAACATTTATTTAAAATGAATAAAAAACAACACGACTCCATTCTTGATATAGATATAAAAGGTGTATTAACATTTATTAAAAATTCTTATGCATGATTGCTTTTCGTTTGGTTTTCAAAGCAAATATCTCATAAATTAACAAACAGGCAAATACCGAATGAGAATTTTGAAATATACCTAAAAGAATTATTCCGAGAGTATGAAAAATAAGTAAGAAGCTAACAGTTCCAGTAACTTTCTTTACATTTGTCATTATCAATGTACAGTATCTCACATTTGCTTTTAGACACCTGTGTTTTTCAAATTTATTTGCAAATATAAGTGTGATGATATCTTTTGTAATACTTGTGGTGATGGCGATAAGGAGCGCGCCTTGCGCCCTCCGATAAGTGTGGCAACCCTAGAGGAGAAGTTTCTTACGAGTAGCGAGCAGAGCGAAACAGGCAGGCTGTCGGGGAGTATGCGCGATGTTCCTAAATAAAGCTTAATTTTTATTGTGCACTATGTCTTGTTAATATTTATATTAATGCAGTAAGAACATAATCTGTGATATGGAATTCGAGGATTGGTGGTAAAAACATATAGGAAATCACCATAATGGTAACCCGGACTGTGTTAAATCAAGCCGTATGAACAGTTCTCAAGCACTTTCGGTTTTGACTACAAGCCATCACTCAAGATCTCCAAACCAGAAGTAATGGATTACATCGGTTTTCATCCTCCGAATCACAGATGAGTAGTAATTATAGATCATTTTATAATTCTGTTTTCTACTTATCATTTAATTTCATTTTCTTTAGTTAAATTTTTGCTTTTATTTTGGCTTAAAAACCTTGCACAATGTCTGATGTTCATGCCGTCCAAATTCCGGTTTATAACCGATCAGACCCATCTTTATGGTTTATTATGTGTGAAAGTACCTTTGCTCTTGCCACCCCCAAACCTATCACAGAATCCATTACTAAATATAATTATGTAGTTTGCTCATCTTCCTCCAGATATTGCATCAATAGTACGGGATTTACTTATGAAACCAGACCCTATTGATCCATATGCAAAGCTTAAAACTGAGTTAATAAATCGTTCAGGAGAATCTTCTCAGCAAGAAATTCGCCAATTATTATCTGGAGAAGAATTAGGTTCTCGAAAACCTTCCGATTTGCTTAGAAATATGAAACGTCGAGCAGAATCTTTAAATGTTCCTGATAACTTAATGTTAGAATTATTCCTTCAACGTTTGCCTTCGACTGTTCAGTCTATTTTGGCAGCGGTTTCCAATTTAACTGTAGATAAAGCTGCAGAAATTGCCGACAGAATTTTAGAAGTAAATCCAACCCCAGGGACTTGTGCCGTTTCTCGCACAGTCGATCAGTCTCTTGAGGATAAATTATTTAAACAAATAGAAAAATTAAACAAACGTATTGATCGCATTTCTCTTTCTCGTGGTCGCTCGCCAAATCGCGGAGATCGCAATAAGGAAAGAAGCAATTCCAAAAGGAGAGATTATTCTGTTTGCTGGTATCATAGACGTTTTGGGAAAAAGTGTAGAGATGACAAATGTACAAAACCTTGTTCATGGCAGGGAAACGAAACCAGCAAAGAATAGAGGCGACTTATTCTTTGCCTCAAGTTTCACGTCGCCTGTTCGTTCGTGACCGTAGAACAAACCTTTCATTCTTGGTCGATACCGGCTCTGACGTGTCCTTACTTCCAGCAAATAATTCTCAAAAACGGAATTCGTCCCAACAAACACTTTTCGCTGCTAATTCTTCTACTATTCATGTTTATGGTCAAAAAACACTTTCTTTGGATTTCAAATTAAGACGACAGTTTACATGGACTTTTCTTATAGCAAATGTTAGTACACCCATTCTTGGAGCAGATTTTCTCCATTTCTTTGAATTGGTGCCTGATCTCAGAAACAAATGTCTCAAAGATTTAAAAACGCATTTTAAAACCGTCGGTTGCGTGAAAAATGCAAGCATTTATTCAGTAAAAACTGTATTTAGTGATACACCATATCACAAAATTTTAAAAGAATTTCCTTCAGTTACTAGATTACCAGATCCTAACCAACCTGTTAAACACAACACCGTTCATTATATCATAACTAAAGGTCCACCTGTGGTTGCAAAACCTCGTCGGTTAGCTCCAGATCGCTTAAAAATAGCAAAACAAGAATTTCAAACTATGATGCAATTGGGGCATTTGAGACCTTCGAGCAGCAATTATGCATCCCCACTTCACATGGTTCCAAAAAAGGGAAGTCTGGAATGGAGACCTGTAGGAGATTATCGAGCATTGAACGCTCAAACAATAAAAGACAAATACCCTATTCCATGCTTAGCCGATTTTACTGCTGCATTGCACGGTACTAAAATTTTTAGTCATGTCGACCTGATTAAGGCATACCATCAAATACCAATTAACCCAGCCGACATCCACAAAACCGCCATATGCACACCATTCGGTTTATTCGAAAGTACCCGTATGCAATTCGGCTTATGCAATGCATCTGCGACTTTTCAACGTTTTATAGATGAAGTCACGCGGGATTTAGAAGGCGTTTACGCTTTTGTCGATGACTTGCTCATAGCCTCTAAAGATTCTGAGGAACATTGCAGGCATTTGAAAGCTTTATTTTCCAAACTTCAGGAATATGGACTTTGCATAAATGTTTCAAAATGCACCTTTGGTCAAACATCTATTGATTTCTTAGGTTTTCACCTTAGTGAAAACGGAATTGAACCTCTTCCTGACAAAGTCAAATGTATTTTAGATTTTCCTCAACCTACCACTCTCACTCAGCTTCGCCGATTTTTAGGCATGTTTAACTTTTATAGATGTTTCATACCTAAAGCAGCACATATTCTTTCTCCTTTAATAAAATTGTTAGAAGGCTATATTAATAAAAAGAAATCTCGTTCTCGTGTTCAGGATTCATCCCCACAATTAAATTGGAACGAGAATGCTGAACAAGCCTTTATTGCTGCCAAAAATGCCATTGCTCAGGCTACCCTTTTGAGACACCCTATTCCCGGAGCCCAGCTAAGCATCTGGGTAGATGCCTCAGACGTCGCAATAGGCGGCACACTTATGCAGTTGTCTCAACAAACATGGGAACCTATAGCATTTTTTCTCTATGAAACTCAATAAAAGTCAACAGAAATGGTCCGCGTACGATAGGGAATTATTTTCTATTTATTCTGCAATTAAGAAATTCCGACACATGTTAGAGGGCAGAAATTTTATAATTTATACGGATCAAAAACCGTTAATATACGCTTTTAAACAGAACCCTCATAAATGTTCACCTCGACAATTGCGCCATTTAGATTTTATTTCTCAGTACTCTACTGATATTAGGCATGTGCAAGGTTCAAAAAACGTCGTTGCTGACGCTCTTTCAAGAATCGAAATTGATTCCATAACAAAATCTCCATTTTTGGATTTTAAAAAATTTTCGGAAGCTCAACGGCATGATCCGGAGGTACAAGACCTTCTCAAAAACAACACATCATCTTTGAAACTGGAATTTAAACCGTGCCAATATTCTGATGGTAATATTCTTTGTGACATATCAACAGACATTCCTCGTCCATTTGTTCCGAATTCCTTTCGCAGACTCATCTTTAATCATCTGCATAATCTGTCACATCCAGGAATTGCAGCTACTACGAAGCTTATTTGTTCTCGTTATGTATGGCCCGTATGTATGCCCGATATGAAACGTCATATCAAAAATTGGGTGAAATCCTGTGAATCTTGCCAAAAATCGAAAATTACTAGGCATACTAAAGCACCACTGGGCACATTCTCTCTTCCTGATGCACGTTTTTCAGAAATCCATATGGATATCGTCGGACCGTTACCTCCATCAGAAGGCAACGTGTACCTTTTGACTCTAATAGATAGATTCTCCAGATGGCCTGAAGCCATTCCCATCCCGGATATGAAAACGGAAACCATTTGCAGAGCCATCTTCAACTGTTGGATATCTCGTTTTGGCTGCCCATCGATCATAACAACAGACCAAGGTTCTCAAATGAGATCCGCACTTTTTGCAGAATTCACGCGCATTTTGGGTACGAACAGAATCACAACAACAGCCTATCATCCAATGTCCAACGGCATTGTTGAACGATTTCATCGACATTTAAAATCTTCTCTCAAGGCTCACGAGACCAATAACTGGACTGAAACACTACCAGTTGTTATGCTTGGTATTCGGACAGCCGTAAAGGAAGATCTACAGTCATCTTGTGCTGAACTGGTGTACGGCACAACTCTCAAGCTGCCTAGTGATATGATAACGTCATCTAAGATATCTCCGTATGACACACAATTTATCACGAATCTTCGGCATAGAATGCAACAATTGAATCCAATAGCAACATCTGCACATTGCCAAGAAAAATGTTACGTAAGTGCTACCTTAAAGTCGTGTACGCATGTATACTTACGTGTCGATCGAGTAAAGCCACCTCTGTGCCAACCATATACAGGTCCGCATAAAGTCCTTTCTAGAACGGACAAAACTTTCACAATTGATATTAACGGTCTGAAATCTACTCTGTCTATAGACCGTGTGAAACCAGCCTATTTGCTTTCGGATTCAAATTTGCCTGAACTGAAATCAAATAAATTTGCCTGAACTGAAAACAAATAAAGACTTAAAGACAGTTCAGCAGAATAAATCTGCAAACGAACTCTCTAAGACACAAACTGTCACCAGATCGGGAAGACATGTTCACTTCCCTAAGAAACTTGCTTCTTACATAACAATTTAAAACATTTTTTTTAAATTCATATCTTAACATATTTCTTGTTATTTCATGTTTATTATATGTGTCAATACCTTGTTATATATTGAATTGCATTTTGATCTTTTCTAATTTTATATTCTAATTTTGTAATCATGTAAAAAAAATACCCGACAGTACGGATACTCTGAGATAATTTCATAACCTATGTCGT